GCTTTGGACAAGAAAGAACAAAAAGGGAAGTGCATTTCATGAAGGCGAGGCTTTAAAAAGAGAAAAACAAAAACACAGGTAGGACACTAAGTAGACCTTCAGAAGATTTCCAGATGAGGACCTTGGAGGTCATCTTGAGTGAGCTAAAGCAGGTAAAATATCTGCATGAAAAAGAGTTTTCTTACCAGGAACTAATTAGAAAATATAAGGAAAATAACAGCAGGAAAAGTCTGACAGTACAAATTCTACACATCATATAGTGGATTGGTTAATAGTAAAAATTGAAATTTCTTAGAAAATTTGTATTATTTTTATTTAGAAAACAAAATACTGCATCTTTCTTTCTACAAGTGGAGAGTAACAGGGCATTGTATTACAAATGGATTCTTTTTCCTAACAGCATCTACATTTAGTTGCAAAGCCTCATCTCCGATAGCCTGTGAACACTGCTCTATCTTACACCTGCTACTTTATCTTATATATTATGTTACATTTAAAAGTTCAACATTTTTCAAATGTGTAAATCATCTCCATTTTAGATTCAGAATAAATTATGGCAGAAATGGTAATACACGTGACGTAAGAGACTTTAACCTGCACTGGTATCTAAACTTTAATTTTAAGGACAAACATATACATGATCTCTAAAGTACTTTTATATTAAAAATAAAAAGTATGGCTGAGTGCTGTGGCTCACACCTGCAATCCCAGCACTTTGGGAGGCCGAGGCGGGTGGATCATGAGGTCAGGAGATTGAGACCATCCTGGCTAACACAGTGAAACTCTGTCTCTACTAAAAATACGAAAATTAGCTGGTCGTGGTGGCGGGCGCCTGTAGTCCCAGCAACTCGGGAGGCTGAGGCAGGAGTATGGCGTGAACCTGGGAGGAAGAGCTTACAGTGAGCAGAGATCGTACCACTGCACTTCAGCCTGGGCGACAGTGAGACTCTGTCTCAAAAATAAAATAAAATTAAATTTTAAAAAAAGGTATGCAATTTACAATCTATGTATAATATCCATCGAACATGCAATCAACCAACCACCTACTGTGCTGTAAAAAATTAAAACTACATTTTTCATAAATCTTTAACAGAGACAACTGAAAAACACATACTGATTATAGACATACAAATGCAAATTACACACAATCTCAACAGTAAGTAGCTCTCCCATTTCAAGAATATGAAGTCCAGGAAATGGATGACACAATGATTTGTCAAGTCAACTGGGTATACTTCCATTATGGAAAAAGTCAGAATCAAGCAAAAATCAAAATCAGACAAGACGACTTAACAAGACAGAAAGTAAGACAGCAATCTGACCCTATAGCAAGTGAAACAGTAAACACAGTACTTTTGTAAACAACTAAAAGTCATCATACTACTGAGTAGTTTTCTTTTCCACAGGCTGTTTCTGTTCAAAGAAAATAGTTCCACAGGCATGATGGTTCTTACTGGGGCAATAAAAATGTTCTAAAACTGGCTTGTGATGGTTGTATCACTCAGTTAAGTTACTAAAAATTACTAAAGTATAAACAAACTCTTCTTGGACTTTAGAGTAAATCAAAGCAGTGGCATCCAACTATACTAGTAATCCCTATATTTTTCACCACCACACTTTTGCAGTTTTAAAAAACACACAATAAGTTTCAACTACGTCCTTGAATCAGGTAGCACAAATTAATTTTTAAAAATTTCAACCCTTAAGTACTAATCTTTCCAGTCTTCTATATGACTAAATGGCAAGTATTCATAAAGTGCTTCTGCTGTGTATGCACTTCACTGTCTTGGTTGTCCTTAAGGAAAAGCACTTGTGCAACTGAGAAACAAGATAAACCAGCTGCTTTTCTAATAGAACGCTATTTTTACTTGAAAGAATGGCAGACAAACCAAAGTTATTCAGACATTCAGACTTGGGAATTTGGCAGACATTTTCTAGAAAATGAAGTGAGCCTGTCCTTCAAGAAAAACAAATGATAAAAATTAGAGCTTTCAAGAAAAACTAGAATTTTGGAAAATCTGTATCAGCCACTGGGAGCTTGAAAGTTTTCCAATACTTAACCATTTCTATGGGTTTGATAGTGATGTTAATAAATGTGGTTTTTCTGGTGTTGTATAATGTCAACACACTGGAATACCTGCATAACTCACTGGACCAGTAAGTATTTCCCAAACCACCAATGAATGATACTATAAAATCATGCATGGGTGAAAGATCCATTCCAAGGGCAAGATAGCTCAATACAGTCTAGAATACCAGTATAGCTTAGGATCCCAAAAAGTTTAATGACATGGTTTCAGATTCTACATTACAAACAACCTTTTAAAAACTACTTTTTGTTGAGTTTTATTGTATCTGCACTTCTTATTGAGTTTTACTGTATCTTCAAAAAAGAATATTCACAATTATCGGAAAAGGATATTATTAATAAAACACACCTTTCTTTTCCAATTACATGTGTGAAGCTAGGTTTTTCATCTTACAGTTAAAACACATCACAACAGACTGCAAGAAAGCAGGCATGAAAACTCAGTTTTCAATTAACCCAGCAACTGAAGGTCTGCAAAAATGTAAAGCAATGTCACTCTTCTCAATAATTCTGTTTTTAAAGTTACTTTCGTTAAAATTCTATTATGTGTTAAATCTAATCAATTTACCATTCATTAATGAGAAAATTTTTTATTTGTTTTGATTTTTAATACAGTTAAGTCCTTACTTAACATAATCGGTATGTTCTTGGAAGCTGTAACTTTAAAACCAAATAACACTCTTTGATTATGAAGCTGATGAGAAAAAAAATGGTTTCATTATTCATTGTTTTGCTTACAGTTGCATTTTCCAAGAACTTAGAGACAATATTGAGGACTTACTGTATATACCAAGAGATAAAACCAATGCAAAGAAAATTACATTCAATAATTCTTTTTTTTTTGAGACAGAGCTTTGCTCTTGTTGCCCAGGCTGGGGTGCAATGGCGTGATCTAGGCTCACTGCAACATTTGCCTCCCAGGCTCAAGCAATTCTGTTTCGGCCTCCTGAGTAGTTGGAATTACAGGTGCCCGCCACCACGTGGGGCTAATTTTTGTATTTTCAGTAGAGATGGGATTTCACCATGTTGACCATGACTAGTCTCAAACTCCTGACTTCAGGTGATCCACCTGCCTCGGCTTTCCAAAGTGCTGAAATTACAGGCATGAGCCACTGCGCCTGGACTACATTCAATAATTCTTAATAGTGTAAATGAGTTCCAAGGGCAAAATGTTTAAGAACCATTGGCTGGTAAAAATACTCCAAATATAATTTTAATGTCATTTTTCTCTTCTTTCCAAATATTCTGTGGTTTTTCAGTGTATATCTAATCAGAATGTTTAAGGAGGAGGGCTTTACTGGATGTTCAAATAGGGGTTTTTTTGCCCCACAGAGTGAGGATATATTCCCCTATGCACACAATTTTTAAATACTGACCAATACATTCATCAGGACCCAGAATCCTTTTAATGGAATCATTTAAAAACAAAGCAAAACCCCTTAGGATGCCTCCCTCAGTTAACCGATCTGATAATGCCACATACGGTATTTCAGATTTTGGAAGATATCAGCCAAGTGTATAGCATTTCGTTATGATTTAGAATTTTTATTATTTCATTTGTTATATGAAGCCATTTTCATTTCTACAAGATAAAACGTAATGAAACTATAAAATCCTCATTTAGATGAACAAATAACAACAATATGAACTAAGAGTGTTAATGTAGGGCTGGGCCCAGTGGCTTATGCCTATAATCTCAGCACTTTGGGAGGCTGAGGCAGGTGAACTGCTTGAGCTCAGGAGTTTGAGATCAGCCTGGGCAACACAGCGAAACCCTGTCTTTACAAAATATAGAAAGATTAGCCAGGCATGGTGGCATGTGCCTGTAGTCCCAGCTATTTGGGAGGCTGACGCAGGAGAATGGCTTGAGCCCAGGAGGCAGAGGTTGCAGTCAGCAGCTGAGATAGCGGCACTACACTCCAGTCTGGGCAACAGAGCCAGACATTATCTCAGAGAAAAACAAAAAGTATTGCAAAATTTGCCCAATACAGTCAATAAAATATAACTCATACCATGAAGCGATTGCTAAAATTGCTATTATAATCTTAGGCTATATTAGTAAAAGCATATGTACAAGTAATAGGAGCTAATATTGCCACTGTAATCTATAAAGTTTAGATGACAATCCTGGAATAAAATTTCAATTATGAAGATCTAGATTGTAAGAATATGAATAGAAATTATCTAAAAGGGCAATCAAATACTAAAGGGTCTGAAAAACTATGTTACTTAATAAAACTAGAGATATTTAGCCTGAAGGAAGCAGAGAGGAGTAAAAAATTATCTTAAAACATCTAAAGAGTTTCCATGAAGCAGTCTTGTTTTCTGTCATTCCAAACAAACAAGAAATAATGGGCAGAAGTTTCAGAGGTATTTGAGTTCCACTGGAAGAGTAAAGTTTACAAACAATTTCTAGCTAACAAAAGAATGGCCTAGTTCATAAGCAGTGAATTTCTCATCACCAAAAGATTAAACAAAAGCTGGTTGACAGAGCAAAGATGACATAAAAAGATTTGCAGGATGCACATATTCCTTTCAAGTAGTATGGCCTAGAGCCTTATTTCTAAAACTTGGATGTTTACATGAGTTACCTGGGATCTTATTAAAATGCAAATTCTAATTTAGTTCTAGGGTGAGTCTTGAGATTCTACATGATGCCTATGCTGCTGGCCCAGTGACCACACTTTAAATAGCACTTTAAAAGGCTTAGGGTGCACTTTGTCAAACAATTTACTTAAGAGTCGCATGCTTTTCAATAACAAGCACATCTAGTACATGAAGGAAAAAAAACAAAAAACAAAACAACAGGTGACAACAAATTCAAATGACAGAGAAACATATATTTTAATTTTAAACAATTCCATATAATTTTATCTAAACAGAGCCAAAATTACACAGTGAAATAACTTACTGTGGCTGATAAAGGAAGAGATCAATAATATTATCGCGACCTTTGGGGTGATTGAAGAAAACAAACAGAGACCAGTGAATGAGCCATGTTCTCTGTTGAAGAGACTGAAGTGGAGAACTCACAGACTAAAGGATTTAAAAATGTACACACAAAAAATATTAATATATAAGAAAGAGGCAGGACAAACATCACTAACTTCAAAACTGTAATTAAAAATGAGCCCTTCTAAGGCATGCACAAGGGTCATTATGATCAATGTCTGATCCCCTATGCCTTCTCTCTGCATGATCCTCGACATTCCAAATTATTACCCTGTTTGTAGAGACAGATTCAGTAACGTCCAGTGAAGACGTTCTAATTTATAAACTCTAACAGAAGTTATAAATTATAATCATTTCAGAAAACATTTTAAAAGCAAGAATTAAGCTGAACATTTCATAGTAAGTGGTTTAATTAGATAATTGTAGATGAAAACTGTCTTCTGCATAGGACTTTCAATAATAGCTGGCACTAACAGCATAGTGTTATTTTGACTGGCATAGAAAAAAAGGACACAGTAACTGTGTAACAGAAATGAAGGCTACGTTTTTTTCTCTAAGAGCCAAAAGAAGTTTGACAATTTCGTTCAAGGAGAGTCAAACTAGTTAAGCCACTATGATTTTTGTAAGGTCAACAAAAGCTAATTTGAAATTTTTTTTTATTCCCAAAATGCATAGTGTTTTTCCTCATCAGAAAGGGTGAAGGATACACAGATATCTCAGACAATAACTGTGAAAAAGTCAAACTCACATTATTATCTATGGTCTCTTTTAACCGTGTAAGGTCTTCCATGGCTGCATCCCAATTCTGCATTAAGATTTCAGAGGCCAGCTTTCCCCAGAGTGAACTTAAAGCATTTCTATCTGTTGCTGGAACCTGTTTAAGAAACCATAATTAATTATATTGTGAATATTCTTGAAGAATAAACTCAATGTATGTTCTATACCCATGTATCCCTCTAGCCTACTAAAAGACCTATAGCTCTCTACACAAAACTGTAGTTATCCAAGTGTTTATTGGATCACAATGGTTTGTTTCAAAAAACCTTTGCTAAAAATACTCAGGCCTTCAATATTCAGTCTAGATAAGAAAATAAAAAATAACTTTTATAACTAGGAAACCGCAGCATCATCTTACTATAACCCACTTTAGATAATTTATACACAACTAATCAAATTTCAGGCACCTAAAACTTTAGAAACCAAGTTAGATTCATATATAATTTGTCGCTAGAATGAAGATGTGGAAAATCAAGACTCGTGAGTCTCATTTACAATGTAATGAGAAATTATGTACAGAACCAAAAAATATTTCCAAATTATGACACAAATGAAGTCAGTATGGAGAGAGGGAGACAGGGAAAAAAAAAACAGGCCCACTGATTAACAATTAATAGTTACTGAAGGATTATGTACTGAGCAATACAAGTTGGTGTTCCCCTGTAATCCTAACAAAAACCCTCTATTTTTTATTCCCATTTTCAAGAGGTGAACGAATACATAGAGTGTAACTTGCCCCAAATTACACTTCTAATCATGAAACCTATAAATTTTACACCACAGTCTTAACCCAAAAAAAGAGAGGACTAAGGGTCATCCCTACCTCTTCTATCCACTGGTAAAACAGTCACAAACTCAAAGCATTCACGATGACCAGGCTAATAACAATGAGCAAAGCTGCACTCCCTCAAAACAAAGCAGTAGAAGTAGGTAAACTGACTCTGAACCACTCAGATGTGCTAAAGCAGTAGAAACAGTAAGGGTAGTAGAGGGGGAACATCTCTACACCTCCAGATGAAATTTCAATTTTAATTTTTTACAGAAGTACCTTTACATAATAGTATAAATATCAAGTAGATATCATAATCACAAGTTAAATTCTATGTGCAGGATCAGAAATCCGATCAAGAATTCTGTCTCTACCACTTAACAGCTAGTTTGTATTTTAGCTTCCTCACTGCAACATGGGGATAAAACCCACCTCAGTTGCATAGTTTAAGTGACATGAGACATACAGAGATTACAATTACCACCTGATACAGCGTAAGAACTTGGTAAATATGAGTTATTAAAATGATGATGAAAATCATCGCAGAGATATGTATATAGATTTACATATATCTACATATATATTTACATATGTAAAATTACATTTATCTATATACATATTTACAGATATATAATCTAAACACTGGGGACCACAATACAAACTCAGTCTATATTGAGAGTCTTCCTTTCAAATGTACTAAATAACATTTGGCACACTCTAAGAGCAGGCAAATAACATAGGGACTAGATTTATAAATTACATTTTGAAATGTATCCATGACACTCCTGGTTCTGGTTATTATCACAAAGTATATCCACAATACAACTTGTATATGTATATTCATAACACCTTTATTTTTAATAGGCAAAAACTAAAAGTAATCCAAATGTTCATCAATAGATGAATACATTGAAGAGACCATGGTAAATTCACAGAATGAAATACTACTGAGCAATAAATAAAATCTAACTTCTGATACACATGATAACATGAATAAATCTCAAAAACTTGCTGGTAAAAATAAGCCTAACACATACATAGTACATCATTCCACTTACATACATAAAATTCTAGAACAGGCAAAACTAATCTACATGGACAGAAAGCAGGTCAATGGATGCCCAGGACCATGGGTGGAGTATCACCGAAAAAGGGTCTTTCTGAGGTGACAGAAATATTCTTTATCTTGATTTAATGGTAGCCACACAAGTACACAAATGTTTCAAAATTCACTGAAAATTTAAAAACCGGTTTATCAAAATCCATAAAATAATTGTTCTAATTACAAAGGATAAAATGTTTAATTCTTATAAAGGACATCTGAATATTAAAATATATCATCAAGTCAAAGATGCCATCAATCTTAACATACATTTTTATTTTATGTTTCCAAAACAAAAAACCCAGTAAAGACACTTTCTGATTTCAGATGCTAAAATACGAAAAACTATGCTTGAAAATCAGTATTAAATGCACAATTCTTACAGTGACATCACAACAGAGTACATCAGAGGGAAATTTTCAGTCAAGATCCTAATGCCTCCAAAAATTATCATTACTCATACTGTCTTAAGCCTCAAGGAAAAATATTTTTAATTGAAGTGGTATATACAAACAGGAAATACATTTCACATCCTGAGGGAGGGAAAGATATAGCTCCAAAAATATAACAAATAGTCCTAGGAACTAAAATCACTTTTGTTTCAAAGAGCTGCTGAGTAAGGGAATGGGATATATTATGGAGCCAGAGCAAAGGCCACAATGAAGGAAAATTTTAATAGAATAATCAATAGTGCTAATAACTTTTAAAGCAAAAGTTTTCAAAAATTCCCACCAAACCAGTTTCGTCATTTTCACAACCAAACAGAAGTTTCACAAAGAACAGAGTGTACCTGAACAATCCTCAATGTATTCTAAAATCCACATGTCTTTTTCACAACCAAAAAAGTTTCACAACCAAACAGAGTGTACCTGAACAATCCTCAATGTATTCTAAAATCCACAAGTCTTTTTCTTTTTTTTTTTTAAAGGGCAGATTCTAGGGTCACACAGCTTTAATTTATACAACACTGACCTACAATAGGTCATTTGGAGAGTCAAATTCTAATCTCAGATCATAGTTACAATGGCTCTTTCATAGCTTATGTTTCCCTAACTATAGATTTAAAATAACCATCAGAAAAGTATTTAGAAATAAAAAAAGGCCACTGCAAAAAATAAAATTAATTAACTAAAGTAAAACACTGACATTTTTCATCCCAAATCCAAACAAGATTTTTAGATTTGCTATTAACAAAACCTCAAACAAATACACAGATCTTATGGTAGTGGCTATCTAAATCAAAAGAAAAAGATATCTATTCTTTTAAGCTTGGCACTGTTAGCCTGCCAATATGCCAATAGGAAGCAACAAACTCTCACCTAACACAAATGTTTTGTGGCACAAGACAGGACAAGAATTAAAAAATGAATTGAACGTAACTTCTCAGAATTTCCAGTAACTCTATGTTGACTGTTTTGATGTAAAACATATTAATTTAGTGTTTATATCACAGTATTCAATCACTTAATCAAAGTATCATTTGAGTTCCAGCACAAGATTTGTTAGGGGCAATGCAAAAGTTTAAAACTAACCCCCCAATTTTTTAAAGACAGGAAATTAACTTGTATCTTCATATTTTTAAAAAGTAAACATAAAAATTCACCAAATCTACAAGTACAAACCTGTCACTTGTAGAAATTTTCAGACTAATATAAAACCATACTACATAAATATAATGATACTATTAACACTAGAATGTGTTATATGTGTTAGAATAAAAGCTTTTTGTAGCAGTGTAGCAAGTTTTTTAATCCTCAAAAGGTTCATGTGTACTACTCTGGCTAAACTCCATGTCATTACAGTTGGCTCTTCATACCAACCCGCTTTCAAGGGTTGATATGCTAGAAGAGTTTCAATATCTGGATTTCCAGCAGTTACCTTAAATTTCCATGTCTTAGCAAAATGGCACATTCACTCACTGACCAACAACAATAAATTTACTGTGCTGGAACTCTAACATGACACTAAATCTTCATTCTCAAAATTCACTCCCAGCATTAACAAATGATATAAATAACCAACTCTTTTCATGTACCTGTAATCATACCAGGCTTCTGATTTTACAATCCTGGTTTAAGCTGTTTACATTTCCAAAGTAATCAACTTTTGCTCTCCTAAATGCCTCGTAATATTCAAAGTAAAACTGATGGAATTTTTTGATAAGTTACTACAAGTTTAGCATCACTGATTACCTTCAATGCACTTGCAAGTGAACCACAGCTAATCTGTAAATTAAGAATTCATCTACAAATGGGAGCAAAAAAAAAGTTGTTTTTCTTAAGCAAAGTTGGAAATAAACAGAAAATCTTTTTATTTAAAGGATGGTAGAGTTTCAAAAAGTGAAGCTGTCTATGCAATTTAAGTGTCGAAATTACCTGAATCAGTAATACTAATCTCTCCCTCCCTACAAAATGAAAATTTAATTTCCTAGAAAATAACCACAGACAGCAGCCAAGAGACTTTATTTTGCGACATGTGGAGCTACAAGTAAAGAAAAAAGTACCAGAAAATAAAGGCAAAAAGAAACTGTTCCAAGGTTGGAAGACAAAAAGTCTCTGTTTTAAGGTCTTTTCCCAACTTCTAGGATTAACTAGAAAATCTTAGACAGGCAGGGTGCAGTGACTCATGTCTGTAAATCCCAAAGCATTGAAAGGCTGAGGAGGGAGGATCACTTCAGGCCAGGAGTTTGAGATCAGCCTGGGCAACATAGCAAAACTCCATTTTGGAAAAAAAAAAAATTAAAAATTAGCCATGAGTGGTGATGCACACTTGTAGTCCTAGCTACTCAGGCGGCAAGAGAATCTCTTGAGCACAAGAGTTTAAGGTTGCAGTGAGCTATGATGGCACCACTGCACTCTAACTTGGGTGAGAGCAAGATCCTGTCTCAAAAAAAAAAAGAAAAAAAGAAATCTTAGACTTTAAGTACCTACTTACAAGTCCAAGGTGAGTAACAAATTATAATTTCTCAAATGAGAGGCTAGCTAAAACAAGGATGTTTTGGTAACTGTAGAAGGCACTTAATACACTTTCCTAAACAGAAGACAGAGTGAGAACGAAGTACATCAATTTGAAGGCCTGATTTTTATTTACTTCGTTTATGTTTTTTGAGATGGAGTCCTGTTGTCACCCAGGCTGAAGTGCAGTGGTACCATCTCGGCTCACTGCAACCTCCATCTCCCGGTTCGAGTGATTCTCCTGCCTCAGTCTTCCAAGCAGCTGGGATTACAGGCATGTGCCATCACGCCCAGCTAATTTTTGTATTTTAATACAGACAGAGTTTCAACATGTTGGCCAGGCTGGTCTCGAACTCCAGGCCTCAGGTCATCAGCCTGCCTCAGCCTCCCAAAGTGCTGGGATTACAGGCGTGAGCCACCGCACCTGGCCAAGGTCTGATTTTTAATTTGGCTTCACACAACTCTCCTTCTCTAACAAAAGCACTAAATCTAGAAGCCTGTCAAATACAAGGTAACAGGATACTTCATGGTTAATAGTACCATTTAAACTCATCTACACCCCACGTAATGAAGAAACCATTGATCTTTATATTTTAATAGCAGAAGGCAGAGGTAACTGGAAAAAGGTTACTACTAAGGCATAAAATATTTCACATACCCTTATGATTCCACAGTTGTTTAGAACAAGTTCAAGGAATATACATACCATAAAGTATTAAATCAGGAATAATGGATTTACTCAACAATATTAAGCACCTACAACGTGCCACTCACTGTGCTGTATTTTATAATAATAAATCCATTACATGATATGATTCTGTTAATGCTAAAAATCACAAAATTGTTCCTACTTTTGGATTTCAAGGACAAGTTAAATCACCCTCCAAATTTTGAGGCCCTGAAACAAGGTTTCTGTTTTTCAGTGGTTTTCTTTACTTTTTTCTCTTTGGCTAATGACTGTTGAAAACTTAATGAACAAACGCAAATCTATATACACATTTTGAAGAACCAAGAGAATCTTACAAAAGCCAAAAAAAAATAAAAAAAAAATCAGGTACTTATACTTACCAACACTCTAAAAAAATAAAGATACTCTGCAGCTCCTGAGTAATTCCCACATTCGTACTGGAATTTTGCATATCTGTAGAGTGTATCTAAATATTCCTGCCTAAACTAAAAAGAAAAAAAAAAGATTAGGTTCTCTTTAATTCAGAGTTTTAAAACCCCATTGTAATTCGTAAGTCTTTGAGGTCAAAACTATGAATGTTTAATTCACCAACTTCTAATGTATATTTTAAAATCTATCTCTGATTATGGTATTTATTTTTGGTGGCAGCTTTTGGGAGACTTTTAAAGAACTGACCTCTGGAGTTATTTAAAGAAGTAAACTAATGGGGGTTGTGCTGGGGGAGGTGGTTTCAGGATGAAACTGTTCCACCTCAGATTATCAGGGCATTAGTTGAATTCTCATATGGAGCGTGCAACCTAGATCCCTTGCTTGCGCAGTTCACAATAGGGTTCGTGCTCCTATGAAAATCTAATGCCTCCACTGATCTGACAGGATGCAGAGCTCAGATGGTAATGCTTGCTCACCTTCTAATCACCTGCTCTGTGGCCCCCTGGTACAGGTCCATGACCTGGGGGTTGGGGACCCCTTAAATAATGAATTATATGCAAAGTCTCATGCTTTGAGTTAACACAAGGGAAATGAGATTGAGTGATGGTTAGGAAAGCTTATAACATTTCTTTATTTGTGAATCTGGGGACTTATAAAGACTTTGATAATTTCAAAGGCCATTGTGTTCCACAAGGCAGCCAAAGTATTACCTAATTCTATTGCTCAAAACATTTCTAATTCAAATTTCATTCTGTTTGCCTTACTTGTTAATCCATAAGAAAAGGCATCCTATGCCCTATAATATATACTACTTAGCTTGCTGTTGGCACTAATATAAAATGCCAACAACTACTGCCAGCTATTACAACTCTGGAATAAATAAAAGCTTTGAGAATTTCTGTTACCTAAAGGTGAGCTATAAGCACCTATTTTCCTATCAGCAACAATTTATAAAAACTGAAGTTTTAAAAATAGAACCAGATTTTATAATTAATAAATTAATCTGGAAATTATATTCTTAGGCCAAGCCATGAGCCTATCTGTACAAACCAGTCTTTAGTCAGCATCATTAAAACATGACACCTTTAAAATATTTTTAAAACACTTACACCATGCTTGTCCGCCAGGTAGTCAAAGAGCATCCTACCATCCCTAAATAATAATTAAAAAAAATTACAGTATTTTAAAGGCCACAGAAAACAAAATAAGCATATCCAACTTCTAAATTATTACCTATGCAAAGTCACCTTAAATAAATATGTAAATGTTTTAAGATTTCCAGAATAAAATAAGCAGGACATTACATGTTTTGAATGTAAAGAGTAAGTATACAAGGAGAGCTACAAACTTTAAAATTCACTTTCAGATGTCTTTAGTTCTAACTGAAAATTAGTGTTGTTTCACCACAATTAACGTAAGGCCTTTAGAAGTCTGTCAGGTAATAAAACCAGAAGATTCTGACTATTTCTAGTAAGGTCAGAAGTCTACTTAGCGGTAATCTATTGAGAATGGTTTTTGCGCTCTGTGGTCACATTTCTAATAGATAATACAGTCTAATTATAGAGACTGATATAAATGTACCATGTACAAACTACAAGAAACTAATCTTATATACAAATTTTGTCCCCTCTTCCAATCTGTTAATGTTTTTCAGAAGGATGATTCTGACAAATTTACAAGATTAATAAATCATGCCTGGCTGGCCACAGTGGCTGATGCCTGTAGTCCCAGCACTTTGGAAGGCTTTGGGAGGCTGAGGCAGGTGGATCACCTAAGGTCAGGAGTTTAAGACCAGCCTGGCCAACATGGTGAGACCCAATCTCTACTAAAAATACAAAAATTAGCCAGGCGGGTGCCCGTAATCCCAGCTACTTGGGAGGCTGAGGCAGGAGAATCGCTTGAACCTGCGAGCTGGAGGTTGCAGTGAACACAGATGGCGCCACCGCACTCCAGCCTGGGCGATAGAGTGAGACTCTGTCTCAAAAAAATTAATAAAAATAAAAAAATCATGTCTCATATACATGACAGCTACGCTACATACCCTACATAATCACTAGGTATAACCAAGTGCCATATTTAATTTTTCTTAAATTAGCTTTGCGTTATCTTGAGATGCTGACAGACTGGTAAAAGACAAACTGATAATAAAGACATCACGGGACAGGGGATATAAGAGTAGTTGCCCACCTTATGAGCATTTTCGTTGTTACTGTTTTTTGAGACGCAGTCTCACTCTGTCGCCCAGGGTGGAGTTCACTGGCATGATCTCGGCTCACTGCCACCTCCACCTCCCGGGTTCATGCAATTCTCCTGCCTCAGCCTCCCAAGTAGCTGGGATTACAAGCATGCACTACCATGCCCAGCTAATTTTTGTATTTTTAGTAGAGATGAAGTTTCACCATGCTGGCCAGGCTGGTCTCAAACTCCTGACCTCAAGCGATCTGCCCACCTTGGCCTCCCAAAGTGCTGGGATTACAGGTGTGAGCCACTGCACCTGACTGCATTTTCCAAAATGAAAACATTTTCTTATCCTTCTCACGAGAAGAAATATGCTATAATGTATCTTAGGGAGCACAATTTTGCTTGAAGATTTAATGGGGTGAGATATGTCCCCATAAAAATATAGGTGTATTATAATACTGAGTATGAAATGTACATGAAATTCCAACACAGAAGAACTTCCACAAAAACTGAACACTTGCAGTGGATCACAGTGAATAACTTTGTATTGCACTACTTACACTACTCACGTATATAATCACTGTCCTCTGGCTGATTATTTCCGGGAAAGTGTTAAGTATGATACTGTACATTCAATGAAATTTAAAAAGGGGGAATTGCAAGAAAAAGGTTTGCACATTGAAAATAGGTAGTTTGTAAGTATAATAAGATTACAAGTTTTTAACACATGCTCCTTTCATTTATCTCAAATTCAGTACCTATTAAGCTACAAGGATCCTCTTTTTCTAACTGGTGAACATATCTACATTCATCTTATTCATACTTTGATCCCATAACTTCCCAGTCTTTGAGTGACTGAACTACAACATCCTAAATTTTCTGTTGTAGTCTAACAACTGGATTATTTCAGGTGTCCCTTTGTAATCACCTACATGTGACCTGAAGATCTAAAACTACTTATTCTAAAAGCATACAAGTAGTTTAGTATAATATATAGTTCTGCCTATGCATGTAATGTGTGTATATATATATCTCTGTGTGCGTGTTTTCCTGCATACAGTCATCCCTTGGTATCCCCAGAGCATTAGTTCCAAGACCTCGCCTACCCCCTACTCACCAGCCCCCTCAAATACCAACATCTGCAGGTGCTTAAGTCCCTTATGTAAAATAGCACAGTACTTGCATGTAAACTATACACATCCTCCCATATACTTTAAATCATTTCTAGATTACTTATACCTAATGCAACATAAATATCATATAGTTGTTGTTATATTGTAGTTTTATTTGTATTTTTTATTGCAGTATTGTTATTTTTTAGGTTTTCTCCTGAATATTTTCAATCTGCAGTTAGTTGAATCCACAGATGCAGAACAGAGAGTTGACTGTATTTATATGTAGTATATGTCATAGTATAGTATAGTATGCTATAGTATGGCACAGTAATTGTGTATTTGTTGCTTTTCTAAAAATATCTGGTAACATCTTCACAAATCACAAAGGAAAACTTAAGAGCCAATCTCTAAAAATTTGGTTTAAACACATAGAAATTAAAGGTATAGCATGGCAAAATATCCAGCAATTCCTCAAGTGAATTCAATGGTAGTAGGATTTATCTCAAATGATAATATTCAATTTTAGTAAGAGATTTTATTTTTAAATGTTTCTAATAACCCAAAGGACTTCTACCCGTGACATGTACTAAGTCAGAGTAAGGCAACATGCTTACGAAACAGTAAATCTATTTCCAGGTAAAGGGAAGTTAGGAATAAAATAATCTTATCAGCTCAAAACTACCCTCCTTGGGCGAGGCATGGAGCTTAGAAGGGTATGAAAGAATGTAGCCAGGAATAAAGTGAACTCAGGTTTCTCTTATAACGAGTTGTGCTCTAAGGCGCTAGGTATTGCACAGGCACAGGGTTTCTTTTTTATTTTTTCCTGAGATGGTGTCTCACTACGTCACCTACTTTGGAATGCAGTGATATGACACTGACTCATTGCAACCTCCACCTCCTGGGCTCAAGCCATCCTCTGACCTCAGCCTCCCAAGTAGCAAGTAGCTGAGACTACAAGCGTACACCATCACGTCTGGCTAACTTTTTGTTGCTTTTATTTTTTTGGTAGATAGAGGGTTTCGCCATGTTGCCCAGGCTGGTCTCGAACTCCTAGGCTCAAGCGATTCGCTTGCCTCCGCCACCCCAAGTGCTGAGATTACAGGCGTGAGCCACCACACAGTGGCACAGCGTTTCTTAATGGACATTTTGAGTTAGGTAATTCTTTGTTGGGGAGTAGCGCGAGGGGTGCTGTCCTGTGCACTGTAGGATGCTTAACAGCATAACTGGTCTCTACTCACTAGGTGCCAATAGTACCCCTCCAGTTATGACAGCCAAAAGTATCTCCAGACATTGCCAAATGTCCCCAGGAAGAGGGAAATAGGAGATGGAAATTCTGTAGCATAATCAGTACAGATAAGTACTAAAGAAGTTTAAAAAACAAAAAAACAAAACAAAAAAACAGTATTAATATTAATATTTATTAATTATATGGCCCCTACAAAATAAGGATAAATGAACATTTAAAAATGAATAAAGCACTCATTTAAACCTATGAACTTTTATTATGGGATACTGGATAAAGTTTGAATTAACATTTGTATTAATCCAGAAACGAGAATTTTTCGAATTCAAAATTAAGAAGAGTTTACCTGGTTGACTGCATTTGCCTCGTAGTTTCTGGATCTTCAAACATTTTCACAATTGGTTCTGTTTCTGCCTGAAGCTGTTTCAGTTGTGCAACCACTGTGGTTCTTTTCTCTCTCAAAGCTAATTAAAAATGCAAAAGAGTACTACAATGGGCATGTTAAAGTGTGCTACTCATCATGAGAATGTCTGGAAATTGTTCAGAGTATTTAAACCATACATACATTTATTTATCCCCAATATATTCATATGCCAGGGGCTACTCACTCAGAAATGTCCCCCATCCCTAATTTCTTTTTTCTAGTAATACAAAGCCACAAAAAGGAAAAGGGAATCCTCTTCCTACTCTTAAGGGAAACTGGAGAATATACAGCCTTGGGGTGACAGAGGTGAAAGAAAAAAAGGGTAGGACCCAATTATCTATCATTTAATTCTCCATTGCAGAAACTTCATTCCAAGTGTTTTTATATTTGTTCCCATTTAATTTTCTTAGGTGAATATTATCCAGGAGTTTTTGAACAAAAACTCAGAGGGGCTTACATATTACTATTACAGGCTATCCACTAGGTTGAATGGAATTTAAATCCATTAAATAATCTCTTTTAACTATAAATCCAGCTCTACAACCTCTCAAACCAAATTCTATTGTTCCTTTTACTATACGATGAAAAGGTGGAGAAAACTTGCACATAACCAACTCTGGTAACACCTTAATGTTTCATTAAGAAACTAAGAAATAGGCCGGGGGCGGTGGCGCCATGCCTGTAATCCCAGGAACTTGGGAGGCCAAGGCAGGCTGATCACGAGGTCAGGAGTTCCAGACCAGCCTGGCCAATATGCTGAAACCCCATCTCTACTAAAAATATAAAAATTAGCCAGGCATGGTGGCGCGTGCCTGTAGTCCCAGCTACACAGGAGGCTGAGGCAGAAGAATCACTTGAACCTGAGAAGTGGAGGCTGCAGTGAGCCAAGATCACGCCACTGCACTCCAGCCTGCCTGAGGGTGAGAGACTCTGTCTCAAAAAAAAAAAAAAAAGAAAAGAAAAAAGAAACTAAGAAACAGTTTCCTTTTTGTTTATATATGACAAACTAAAGAAGAGCTACTGTTGTTGCAGGGAACTACAAGTCAAACAGGTGGATTATGTTTAATGTAATAATTTCTGCATTACATATTAGAAAGTATATTCTAGAGCAGTCTTTCTCAAACACAGGAGAAGATCTATGATCAAATTTTGAGAAATGCCAATTTAAACAGAGTATACTGTATTTCTCTACTGCCAGAATTCTTGGAATCTTTAAAAATGTAATGTGCATTGAAGAAATGACACAGAAGTATTTCCCAAACTTAGATAACCACTTTTTTTTCTTTTTAAGTAACGTTACCACAGAAAGCAAGGGTTTGGAAAACACTGTATCACAGTAGTTCTCCAACTTGAGTGCTAGGCCTCACTTAACAGTTTTGATTAAGTAGGTCTGGTGTGTGGCCAAAAACCTGCATTTCTAACAAGCTCTCCCAGGTGAACTGATGACGGTGGTCCTGGGGACCATATTTGGAGAACAATGTCTACACTAGATGCCTCAAAATTAAAATAAAAAAAAAATCTCTAAGGCACACAATGCAGTAACTAAAAAAGGTAGCAACCCAAGAACTGTAACATTCTCAGATAATTCTAAGGAATGTGAATCATAAGCACAACTTTGATGATACATACTATGAACTGAAGGTATCTGATGACCATATTTTAAAGTAGTTCCACATCTTTCACAGGGAAAAAACAATATACTTCAGAAGACATGAAACCTTTATATAACCTCTCACCCAAAGAACATTAACATTCAAATAATAATTAAGTCTTTTGGCTAAAGCTCTCTTATAAATCATAAAACTTTAATACACATATCCTCAAGTCACAAGACAAGCTTCAATTCTAATGACAAAACTTACCATGAGGAATATCATCAGAATAGAGGTTTTTGTATACATCCATAGCAAAGTCTACCATGTTGGTATCACTAAGAAGGTCCAATTTACCTTGTAATAATTCCTTTTCATTATATATCTGAAAAAGAAGATAACTTTCTAATGAATATATTTAAGTCCCCCAAATAAACTGACAAATACTAAGACTAATTTACCTGGAAATATATTTCAAGAAATACTTTATAAAATACGATAAACTATTTACTTCTCCCTCTTGTAATAATGGCAAGCAATATGGCAAGCAAACAACCTACAGACATAAAAGTATTTTACTTACCTAAAATTTTTAAAATGAAGAGAATTACTATAGACATTCCAACCTCCTTCTGATTTACATGATCTTATTTTTTATATGTCCCTACAAACCATCTCTTATCTTTTCTAGGCAAGGCTGTGGATAAACAAAATCCACACCATCTTTTCTGTAAAGCAGAAATAGCTGTCACCTCTCCATATCCAGGTAATCAGTAATAAACTCTAACATGCTTCTCCATCCACACTGCTGAAACAAAAACTGCACCGATTTTTTAAGTCAACCATGTCAGACCAGGCTTTTGCTTTGCAAAGGGTCCAAAAAACATAATTTAACCTATAGTACAGGCAGCAAATAGATACATATACAAACTCACATCAACATGAAGTGTGCTGAGTAATATATACAGATTCTACAAAATATTCAGGGACATAAATGCTTCAGCAAAAGAAGAGATTTCTGTACTGAACTTAATTTTGCAAGGAAAAAAAATCCAGGCAAATGCCACAATATTTCACTGCCCACAAGAAGTAAAGATGAAGGTGGTCAAATGGTATTTAGCCATAAGAGCGAAACTGAACCTTCCAAATTACATGCAGAACTCCTATAAATGAGTAAGACAAGACAGACCATGCAATTGAAATGGCTAAAAGATAGGCACTTTGCAAAAGAAGACAACGAAATGGCCAAAAAACACATGAAAAGGTTCTCAACTTCATTAATCATAAGTAAACGCATATTAAAAATTACAATAAAAATTTTAAAAATCCTGACAGTACCAGTGTTGCTGTGGATGTAGACTAACTGGAACACACACTCTTCTGGCAGGAATAAAATCACTTTGTAAGATTTTTATCTCCCAAAGCCAAACATACTTTTTGATCCAGCAATTCTGTTTCGAGGCATCCAAAACAAACGGGTGCATATAGTCAAAGTGCACTTCCAAAAACGTATACAGGAGCACTATTTGTAATAGCCAAGTCTATCAATGTTAAAATGAGAAAACAAACCACAGCATACTCATAAGAGACTAACATTTGGCACTGAAAAATCAATGAACTACTTCTGCTATCCTAAAAACATGATGACTCACAAACAACGCTGAGTGAAAGCAGTCATACAAAGCAGTACATGGTGGTAAATGCTTAACTCCACCTATGTAAAAATCAAAAACAGGCAAAATGAATCATCAGACTACAGCTTACCTTTAGGGGGTGTGAGTAGTGACTAACAGGGGTCAAGAGGAAGGTTTAAAGATGTCTGTAATGTTTTATTTATTAATCTGAGTGGTGGTCACATAAATGTATTCACTATTCATTTTGAAAAAAAATGTATCATTGACCAGTACATTTATATTTGTGTACTTCTATGAATGAACGTTGTATCTGATAAAATTTACCAGAAAAACCTTAACTTCTCATCACTTTGCGCTATAGAAACCGTAATCTTAAATAAAAACATTCTTTTCCAAGCATGCAACCTCTCCTCACCACTCTATTAATAACTTTTAATTTGCCATGTCTCTCTCCACGATAGATTCAACAGCCCTGCTCCTCTACCATCAGGTGTTACTGACCTGTTCTGAAATCTACATCTGCCTCTCAATTCTGCCTCATAGGCAGAAAGCAAATACTTCAGACTTCATATCAAGAAGCAACAATTGAAAATACTATATAAGTACTCACATGAAAAAGGAGAATCAAATTTCCACAATTTTTTCATGAAAAAAGGTTAAGAGGGTAAAAGAATCTGTTGAGAGGTATTAAATGACAAAGTCATGAAGGTTCCAATTCAGAGCCCAGGGTCCTAAATATTTCACTATCTGGCCTGCTTCACATGAAAATAAAGAGTGAGAAACAAATATGTATTCATTCAATCATTTATTAAACAATCATAAAAAGCCTTTATGCCAGACTCCATATTATGTGCTGAGAGCACAAGGAAGCTTCTGCTCTCATAAGGCTTATATTCTCCAATGTAACAAATATATGAAATTGTTTTTCTCTTGGTGCAATACAATAGTCTCCCCTTATCCACGAGCTAAATGTTCCAAGACCCCCCCAGTGGATGCTTGAAACCGCAGATAGCCCCAATCCTATATTTACTGTTTTTTTCCTATACACGCATACCTACGATAAAGTCTAATTTATAAACTGCGCACAAGAGATTAACAATAACAAAATATAACAATTAAGTTAGCATATACAGTGTGGATACATTGGACAAAAGGATGATTCATGTCCCAGTCTAAAGCAAGGGAGCGAGACAGATTTCATCCTACTACTCAGAAGGGCGCACAACTTAAAACTTACGAATTGTTAATTTCTGGAATTTTCCATTTAGTATTTTTGGACTGTAACTGGAACTGCAGAAACTGAAACTGCTAAAGGGGTGTGGGGGGCTGCTGTATCCTCACATAGCAGGATCACTGACTCTATCCTAACCATCTAGCCTTCAAAACTCAAAGTCTCACCTCCTCAAAGTACTCTTTGCTCACCGAAGATAACAGAATCTCAATTTTGATAGCACCCTACCAGTACCTCTTCGACATTTATTACTTTTTACCTTATATCAAAAATATTCAACTCTAAAGGATAGGTAAGTTTTTAGTGGTGAGATGTCTGGGTTTTATCTTGGATTTCTCACAGTTACATGGCCCTATACAATTAACCCTTGAACAACAAGGGTTTGAACCACACAGGTCCACGTATACACTTTTTTCCAATAAAAGTTACACCAAGTGTGCTTGCCTTTCCTGACTTCCCTTCCACTTCCTCTACTTCTTCCACCTCTGCTACCCCTGAAACAGCAAGACCAACCCCTCCTTTTCCTCCTCCTCAGCCTACTCAATATGAAGACAATGAAGACCTTTATGATGATGTACTTCCACTTACTAAAAAGTAAGTGTATTTCCTTATAATTTAAGACCACTTTCTCTAGCTTACTTTATTGTAAGAATACAGTATATAACACATACAACACAAGACTGTTCATGTTCTCGGTAAGCCTTCCTGTCAACATTGGAGTATTATTAAGTTTTGGGGGAGTCAAAAGTTCTAACGGATTTTTGACTGCAGGAGTTCAGCATTCCTAACCCCTGTATTGTCCAAGAATAAAATGTACTTAGTAAATGGTAATTAAATACTCCAGCATCTGTCTTCCTCTTGGTATATTACAGTCATCTTACCAACATTTTCTCCAAAGAGGTGGGTATTGGACAGTTTTTCCCACTGATTCTCAACTGCCTGCAGTTCATAGTTTTCGTCTAGCCCTATGAAAATCTAATTTACATTTACATATTCCTCCTTTCCTTCTGTCTGCCATTAAAAAAATGAAATTATAAAGAACACAAAAATATATAAAGTTCAGCTAGTTCAGAAGTACTTCTACAAGTAGCTGGTAAAAAGGCTTTCAAAATATGGCACTTTTACTAGATCTTCTGTCCCCACTTTTCCAGAAAAGAAAACAATGCAGATGGGAATATTTTACTCAAGGTCTAAAATACAGGTGTAAAAAGAAGAATCAAAGCAAAAATATATCTTTTCAAGAGAAAGTTTTACATGAGAAGACATTCTTGGACATTTACTGAAAATGATCTTAGCCGTTACCTAACATCAACAACTTCAGAGTTGTCTATGTTTAGAAAAGGTGCATAGGAATATGAGGATTATACCTGTCTAACGAGCCACAACCACCTGGTAGCTGGTTTTGTGGGACGTTTTTGTTTTATTACTTTTTGTCTTTTGCTACACAAAATCCACTCCCCAAATCTAGAGTTCCCTAAGTAGACTTATATTGTAGTCTGCTTCCAGAAACAGAATTCACTTATTTTTCTGGCCAAAATTCCTTCATCATTGCAAATTACTTTGCATTATTAAACTACATCAATTTCCCAATAAACTCACGGTATAACTAATGTCAATTTTCTTTTAACCAAAACTTTCAAGTCCAATAAAACTGTTAGGACTGACATACGCTTTAAAATGAAGTTCCAGAATTACACATTTATGCACAATATCTTGAGTAGATAATTGAACATTAACGACCAATTCAAATCACTTGAAGTCAGTACAATGTACACACTGGAAAACACATTTAAAGATTGTGGGGATTTTTTTGGGGGGGGCAGGAGAGCGCCGTCCCCATCTGACGAAATATGCTGTTCTAGAAAGTCCTACTTATCAAAGACAAGAAAACGCAAAGAACTCACAACTTGATGGAAATTAAAGCACTAGATACTTATTTTAAGTGTAAGAGAATCACTCTAAACGACTCGACATACAAAAATCCATAGCCAAGCCCAGGCTTCCCACCGTTTCCAAAAGAAAAATCAAAAGCTCTAACAACACTCCACGTTGCTTTTAGAAGCCGGCCTGTGAAGCTCTAACGTTCTCTAGAGAAACCAGCGAATCACCAACTTCCGAGACCTGATGCGAACGTCCCTTTGGCACTGACACCACAGTTAGTGAAGGAGATGTCTTTTCTCTCTCCGTAACCTCCCTCCTTCTCACTGCCGAATACCGCGGTGCTTCTTAACTGAGAAGACGCTAAACTACCGCAAGATCCTTACTGTCCGTCCAGGAACCAAACTCGCGACCGCCTCGCACGTGTCAGGCCTAGGGCTACAGACACCGCCTTTCGGCCTTGCTCAGCAACTCAGCCGCCCCCACGCCTTCCTCGCGCCCAAAGACCCCCTCACCTCCTTTACAGAGAGAAACTCAAGGAGCGGAAAGACTAGATGCCGATCCAAAAAGTGCGCGATGCGAGTAGTCAAGTCGTACTCCGCCATCTTGCCAAAGAAAAGGGAGTCTGTGCTCACTAAAACTTTATTGGTAGCGCCGACAAACGAACAGACAGATCCCGTACTGCGCATGTGCCATGGTAAAACTGGGCTAAGGAAAGGGGCGGGGTTTAGCCTGGCGAGCAGAGGACAACGACGCATGCGCGCGGGTTGTCCAACCCCTTTGCGTTAAGGCGCGAGTGACGGGAACAGTTCCCTCTATTTGTAGGTTTGTCAGTATTCTCTTTTTAATGCTGGCCTTCGATTACCAGTCAGTGGCTTGCAGTCTATTCCGTTAATAACTAGTGAAACCTCAGAATTGATTGCTGAAGCAATGTGACTGCATTGGGATGCGGCAAAGGAAAAGATGAGAAGGGCCCTGATCTCCAGGAAGTTGCATACTGGGAGGAGTATCTAGGCTTTTTCATTTGGCCTACGCTAATCGTTTTGTAAGCGATTGTTAAAGTGAGGGTGGGTTTTTAGACAAATAAGTGAAAAAAAATTTCAGATATAGTAAGAGCCATAATTTGGTGGAGATGGTTGGGTTGGACCTATTTAATTAGGATGATTAGAGAAAACTCAGATGGGAATTAAGAAAATTAGAGAAAAGTCTGATAGAGTAACAAGTTAGCTGAGAGTTGTAGTAAGAGAAGGAAGTGATTAAAACTAGAGCCAGGGTAAAAACATGCTGGTTGAAAAGTACAGCAAAGACAATGACCATGATACAGGAAGGGACTTAGTGTGTGGCGTTTCAAAACCTGAGTGGCCTGTGTGTACTGCGGAGTAAGGTTAAAGAGTTTGACAAGGGTCAGGTCATGATTATGGTAAGGAATGTGGAATTTTTTTCTAAGTACTCTGCAGTGTCCTTTGCTAGTTACTTCTCATCTTTTAGGCCTTTTCATTTTGAAGAACCCCAGGGATCTTGGACCTCTTCTCCATCTAGACCAATGCCCTATATTGATAACATCAAGCCTAATGGCTTTACATGCAGTCCGCACAACTCCCAAAATATGGCCGCAACACTGCCTATTAGTCCCAGACTCAAATGTACCCGGCATTTCAACATGAGCTTGTCCCAAACCAAGTTTCCCCATGTAGCTTACCAAACCTGCTCCAGCTGCACTCTTCACCTCAGTGGCCACTCCATCTGTATAGTTCCCCAAACTCAAAACCTTAGAATCATCATTGACTTTTTCTTTTACACTGTGCATGAAATCTACCGACAAACCGTTTAACTCTAATCTTTAAGGCACATTCACACCCAATCAGTTCACACCACCTCCAAAGTTACAACTCTAGTGCAAACCACCACTATCTCTTGCTTTGACTTTGGGAATCACTTCTTCACTAATCACCTTGCCTCCCCTCTTCCTCCTGTGCTTTATTCTTCATACAGCAGCCAGAGTGAATTTTTAAAAGTCAAATTATGCTTAAAGCTCTCCAAGGCTTGCTGTCTCTTTTAGAGTAAAAGATGTAGTAGGTATTTTAAATGACCTAAAAAGCCAGTAGATCATCTGGACCCATTACCTCTCTGACCTCATCTCCTAAATGTTCCCCTCTTGCTCACTTGTCTCCAGCCACACAGATTTCCCTTCAGTTCCTCAGATACTCCCACCCTGCTTTCATGTTGTCCTGTTATATTTGCTATTCCCTCTACCCGCAATGTTCTTCACCCAGTTATCTGCATAGCTCTTTTCCTATCTCCTTCATATTTTGCTCAAATGTCATCTGCTCAATGAGAACTTCCTTGACGAGTCTATTTAAAAATGTAACTAACTTGCCTACAAGAACCTCTCATTTTGCTTTCCTGCTTTATTTTTTTGTTTGTTTTACAATATTTTACTTATTTTGTTTACTTTTGTTCTTCCCTGACTATTGTATTAATTCCACAAGATCAGGGATTTTGTCATTATTTTAAATATAATAACCGCTTCTCCAAAGTCTAAACAATGCCCAGTATATAGTTGGCACTCAATAAATATTTGAATGAGTATATGAGTGAAAGAAGGAGGTAGGCCTTTGGAGAGTGATGTAAAGTTTATTTATTTATTTATTCATTCATTCATTTTTTGAGACGGAATCTCACTCTGTCGCCAGGCTGGAGTGCAGTGGTGCAATCTCGGGTCATGGGTCACCGCAACTTCCGCCTGCCAGGTTCCAGCGATTCTCCTGCCTCAGACTCCTGAGAAGCTGGGACTACAGGCACGTGTCCAGCTAATTTTTGTATTTTTAGTACAGACAGGGTTTCACCATGTTGGCCAGGATATTCTCAATCTCCTGACCTCATGATCTGCCGGCATCAGCCTCCCAAAGTACTAGGATTACAGGCGTGAGCCACCGCGCCTGCCCTGATGTAAAGATTTTTAGTGGAAATGTATTCTAACTATTGTGTGGTAAATGAATTGCGAAGGGGCTCGAGTGAAGGCAGCAGGATCAGTTTGATGTTCGCAGACTGGGTGAGGGCTAATGGTGGTATAGACAAGTATATTCATACAAGTAGAGAGAAGAGATAAGAACCAAGATGAACTTTGGTGGTAGAACCAACAAGACTTGCTCCTGGATTGGATATGATGCATAAGGAAGAGTAAAAATCAAAATAATTTCTAGAAATACTACTCAGCAATAAAAGGAGGGGACTAGCTATACACACAACAACCTGAATGAATTTGCAGGGAATTATGCTGAGTGAATAAAAGTTAGTTCCCAGCCAGGCGCGGTGGCTCACGCTTGTAATCCCAGCACTTTAGGAGGCCAAGACGGGCGGATTGCCTGAGGTCAGGAGTTTGAGACCAGTCTGGCCAACATGGTGAAACCCTGTCTCTACTAAAAATACAAAAAAATTAGCCAGGCATAGTGGCGTGCATCTGTAATCCCAGCTACTCAGGAGGCTGAGGCAGGGGAATTGCTTGAGCCAGGGAGGTGGAGGTTGCAGTGAGCCAAGATCGCACCACTGCACTCCAGCTTGGGCAACAGAGCGAGACTCCATCTCAACAAAAAGAAAAAGTTAGTTCCCAAATGTTACATATTAAATTATTTTATTTACATAATATTTTTACATTACAAAATTATGGAAATGGAAACTAGATTAGTGATTGCCAAGGGTTAAGGAGGATGTGGGGGTGGGAGGGAAGTGAGGGTGGCTATAAAAGGCAATAGCAGGGATCTTTGTGGTAATAGAATGCTCAGCATCTTAACTATGTCATTATCCTGGTTGTGCTATTTTACTGCAGTTTATGTTTTGTTTTCAACAGCTTTATTGAGATAAAATTTATATACCATACAGTCCACCCATTTAAAGTATACAGTTCCATAGACATACACAGATAAGTGCAGTCATCACCACAGTCAATTTTAGAACATTTCCATCACTTCAAAAAGAAGCCTTGTACCCTTTAGTTAAGGGTAACTCCCCTATCCTTCCATTCCCCTCACTCCAGCCCTAAACAACCACTTTCTTTCGGTACAGGTTTCCCTATTCAAGATGCTTATATGAATGGAATAGTATAACATGTGGCCTTTTGTGTCCCACTTTTTTCACTTTACATGATGATTTCAAGGTTCATCCAAATTGTAGCAGGTACTAGTACTTCATTCCTTTTTATGGTCATTGTATTTATATAATACTCCATTGTATTTACAGACTACATATTGTTTACCCATTCATCTGCAAATGGACATTTATATAGTTTGCATCTTTTGACTATTAAAGATAATGTTACTATAGTAATTCCAGCACTTTGGGAGGCTGAGGTGTGGGGATCACTTGAATTCAGGAGTTCCAGACTAGCCTGGCCAACATGGCAAAACCCCATCTCTACAAAAAACACAAAAATTAGCCAGGCGTGGTGGCATGCGCCTGTAATCCCAGCTACTCTGGAAGCTGAGGCAGGAGAATCGCTTGAACCCGGGAGGCAGAGGTTGCAGTGAGCTGAGCTCGCACCACTGCACTCCAGCCTGGGTGACACAGCAAGACTGTCTCAAAATAATAATAATAATAATAATAATAATAATAATGCTACTATAAACATTCATGTACAAGTATTTTTGTGGACATGTGTTTTCAGTTTGCTCAGGTATATGTATAGGAGTGGAATTGCTGGGTTACATGGTTATCTCTGTTTCATAGTTTGAGGAAGTTCTAGACTGTATTATAGTTTTGCAAGATGTTACCATTAGGGTAAACTGGATAGAGAGCAAATGGGATCTCCCCTGTGCTTACAAGTTGATCTTACAACTGCATGTGAATCTTCTATCTCAAAATTAAGAAGTTTATTCCTGCACTTTGTGCTTAAGAAACTGAGTCCCCTCTGGTGACCAGTATATGGGGTAGAATGGCAAAGGAATATGCGTGGGTACTTAAACAAGGAGTTCTGTTTCAGGCAAAATGAGATCTCTATTAAATATCCGAGTGGTCATATCTAGTAAGCAAATGGAGATACTATTCTGGATGAGTTGATATAGTTATCGATTGCTTACAATGAATGTTACCTTGTATGTTTTCAATGATGTGGAAATATTATATGATCTCTACCATTATGCCATTTACAGTATTGTTGGGAAAGCAAGGCAGAATGCCCATGAAGCAGAGAATACATGCTAGTATAAGCTGCTAAATTTTGGGGCATAGTCTGTGTGGCCTCTAAGAGTTGAGAAATAACAGTTGTAATTTGAAGTTTCCCGAAATTCCAGGAAGTTGTAATAAAATATAAACAGGAAAACAGGCAAAAGTGAGGTAGAGCAAAGGAAGGAAGGAAACAGGTAGCAGTATGAAAACTTGCCAAAAAGGAACAGAGAGCATCTTTGAGAAGCAGAGAGAAATAAGATGCAATTCTATTAGACAAATGTTCTGAACTTTTACCATAGGCAAGGTACTAAGCTAGGTGTTACTGGGAATATATAATCACTAAGTGTTAGTCCGTGGCCACAGGAGCTTTCAGTCTTATAGATGATAATTATTAATGTATTCAATTTAAACTAAATGCTTACAACATGCTAGGCACTATTCTAGGTCCAGGGAATACAGA